TGATTTTTGAACCGGGGTGTTAAAGAAAGACACATTTTTCTGTTGCTTGAATCTGTTTGAACTGCTCCATCTAGGGGAGGCTACAACCACTGACATGCCAGGACTCCCCAGGTAGACTACCCAAGCATGACATGCCAGTGATGCGTTTCAAACGGGCACTTCCAACAGTTTCACGACTTCTGGAGGCTCCTTTATATGTTTATGTAACTATATATAATATAAGAATAATACTAATGATAAATAGTAGCAATAACAATAACAATAAGAATAAACCAAAAAAAAATATATATATATATACACGTACATCTCTTAATGTCGAGACTTCTTCGGGTGGGGCCCGAAAACCCCCCAAAACGGCCCGACCCCCGGTGGAACCCGCGCCGCGACCGGTGGCGGGGGACCGAGGTCACGCCGGGTGGCACGGTGCGCTTCACGGGCGCGACGGACTTCGCGCCGGGCGAGTGGGTGGGCGTGGAGTTGGATGAGCCCAAGGGGAAGAACGATGGAAGTGTGTCACTCAGACGCAGGTTAGATGGAGATGTTCGGAACGTCTTCTTTTGTTTCTGTATGTTATTGTCATTAAACTTGTTATAATATAAACTGAGTAAACAGATCAATTAGACTGTAACTCCCCAAATGCAGAGACTTACCTTAGAAGAAAAAACACGGTGACAGTGGGTTCACGGAAATGGACTTGCTTCACCAAAGTTTGTGAGGACAACAGATTGCCGTTTTGCAGATAGAAAGCTGAACAGACTCCATGTTCGGTGTCCAAGTCTTTGATTTCATTGTTTCCGGTGCCTTTCGTCCAAGAATCTCAAGCTCTTCCAGACCAAAACGAGACGCGTGGTTTTCCGAACCTCCAGCGGTCAAGGCTAAAAACAATCCCCACAAAAGGCATCGAACACGTGGCAGTGGAGATGCCCTGAGGCAAGGGAAGCGCTATTTCACCTGCAACGACAAGCATGGCATTTTTTGCAAAGCCACCTTCTTGCAGCCCGAAGAGGCGCGACCACGACCGCGCGGTCACGTCACGCGCGCGCGCGTGTCTGCTGCGGTTGGAGGAACTTCAGGAAACAGGGAAGCCTCATGGAGAATGCTTGGTGCTTCTGAAGAAAACGACCAAGCGGGACATGGACCGGTGCTTTTGCTGTTCCTCGGGCGGTTCGCCATCGCTCGGTGGAAGAGGAGAAGCCGCGGAAAAGGAAGTCCCGCCTGGCCCGCGCCGAAGGGAAGGAAGCGAAGGCGGAGGCCGCCCTACGGTGTGGGGAGCGTGGAGGGAGGGAGTTTGGCTCTCAGGGTGAAATGCTCCGCGCATGTTGTAGGTGCACCTGCCTGCTCTGAAGGTCTTAAGATCACACTTGGCACAAGACTCAAATCCTGTGCAAGCATCCCAGTGATGGGCGCACCTTGCCCAAACCCAAGAACTTAAGCTTGTCACAACGTCCAGACACTCACCCGAATCGTGGCGCCCGGGTCCAGTCGCACCCGAGCCTTGCGCCGAAGGCGCTGCCCGAACTGCCCGAGCACCCACTGGACGCTCGTCCACGAACGGGGTGGAGGATGTTTTGGGGGAGCTGTTTGGGCGAGCACAACTGGAGCTCCTGGAGTGCCTGAACACATTTGAGGTCAAGGGCTTCAACATGTTTTCTGCATATATTAGCTAGTTTTTGTTAGGATCCAGGATCCCTTTCTGTCCGAGTGAGTGGTCTTCAGGATCCCAATCCTTAAGGTTTAATTTAATCTGTTTGATGGTGGCATGGTAGTGACCAGGACGCCACGATTGTGAAGCCTGCCAAAAGGAGAAGCCTGAGACCGCTCTCAATTTGTCCCGACTCACTCCCCCTCCCTGAACATATTTGAGGGAAAACCAATTGAACTGAGGTTGGGGGCGCTTGGGGATCTCCTACAAGCAGATTTAATGTTAGCTCCTTGTTGGCCTAGGAGAAGGATCCTGATCCAGCTGAGCCCGATGAGGGCAAACGCGCAGCATCGAAAGGAGGCGGCGAAAACGGCAAGCACAGGGCCAAGGGTCTTGGAAGACTAGAAGCAAGAATGCTCCGTTCGTAGCGATGCCAGGAGCCCCGTTCGTAGCGTCCTTGTTCCGTTCGTAGCGATGCCCTTTTCTCCTAGTCGAAAATGCTTTGGATCCGGTCGGATAGATATCAGTATAGCAGTTCTGGGTTCGATGTGTTGAACAACATGAGGCGACCACAGCACTAGTTCCAGGCATCTTGGACCCTCTGATTCTGGCGGCCGCAGTTGACATCGAGCCGAATTGAACCCAACAAAATGTAGACTCGTGATTAATAAAAGCACCCATATGAACCAGATTTCCAATCCAACACCCGCCACAATACGTGGCATACGGGTATGTGTGGAAGCGTACGTTTTGTCCGCAAGTGAGTGCATTCAATTGGGGAGGTTATCAATCAAGAGTCAAGAGTCTACATCAGGTTCTCAAAGAATGGCAAGCACCGCACATGTCTGCAGGTCGCAGTCGCCTGAGTCAGACCACTGAATCGGACGACCAGAGGTGGTCGTCTCCATCACACCTTGGATCATCCTGAGAGAGGTCAATCCTCTGATCTTTCACTACTGGAACAGGTCACCTCAATCTCAACTCTCCACAGGCGCCATTCAGCGCCAGCCCTGGGCACTGGCCATGGGAGACGGCTCATTCTCATTCACCTCATTCCTTCCCCCTCACGTCCTCAGCTGTCCTCAGCTGTCTCAGACATGATGGAAAGACGGAGTCGAAAAACCAGTGCACTGTACACATGCAAATCAACGAAAGAGCATAGATAAAGGAAGGGTCATGGAAGATCAGCCTCAATCGCAATCCTGACATTTGGAAACATTTGTGGATTGCTTCCGGTCTCCTCAGGAGGCTTTCACTTTCAGTTGACCTCCGGAACCTGCATAAACCTATGCCCCACCAAACCTCAGCAGCAGCTTCCTGTTGACCTGAGGTGCCTTCACGTCGTAGGTCACCGAGATAACCGAGGTGTCGGTCAGACCATCTGAACTCCATTCACGTCGAAGACGTGTTAGAACTCCAACGGTCTTCGAACACCATCGAACTGTACAAATACTGGACTGAGTGTGAAGGTCAGGATACCTGGACTCATCAGCTTTTTCTCCGATTCTTCCAGCAAACAGAGGCAGATCCTCGATTCTTTCATCTTCTGGATCTTTTGTACTGCAAAAATACAACCGGTTGGGGCCACGGTTGGGTTTTCGTTCGTGGTTTTTTTAGGCCTTTGGGAGAGGTCTGCCTATCTTTAAAAACCCACGGCCGTTTGACACCCCGAATCTCCCTCTCTCCTGTCTTCCCAACCTCTGCCACGCCACCCACCGCCAGCCTCGCCCTTCGCGCGCCACGTGGCCGGGGCGGATCCCTTCGCCAGCGACAGCAGCGGGTCGATCGTGGTGAAGAGCGAGGAGGGGGTCGACCGAGCGCCGCGGAGCGGTTCGAGCGAGCTCGGAGGGGGGGGGGTTGAAAGGAACCTGACCTGTTGTCCCCCCGCAAAAGCGAGCCACTGCCTGCTCCTCAACTGTTGATGTGGTCTTGAGGCTGTTGAGGATTGGAGTGTTTGGTATCGACATGTATGTTGCAACACTGAAGGAATGGAGCAGTACAGGGATGTCAGTCTGTAAGTGGTATGGATTTGTGGCAACATCTACTGCTCTCAGTAGCCTTACATGGGTTCCTGATACATTGGGAATCCCCAGAGTTTGTCTAACAGGTGAACACACTGAATCCGGAGATGAATATCATCCGGTGGTGGAGATAGTTCTTATATAAATGTTTTTAATGTGGGCATGGTCCATGGAATTCGTAGAAGTAGATCTTGGCTTTGCCAGAAAGGGAAGGAGGGTACAGTACCTGCAAGACTCCAGGAAGATCGAGCATGCCGTTTTCCTGCAGGTGATGGACCAAATATCACGAATTCCGGTGCTTTCGTGGTTGCAGGTGGGTGCCCTCTGTTCCATCAATGGGTTTGACAATGAACAACCAGACTCCGGAGTTTGGCTGCTCACCAAGTTCTCCTCAGTGGACAAATCTGTTGCCAGGAAAGCCAAAGCTCCAGCGAGGAGGAGGGCGAAGCCAAGGCAACAAATGGGTTCATCTGATGGGAGAGGCCTTTGGGCGTAGGTTGGAGCATTGGGAATGGGAAGACCGAACGCATTTGTTGGGTCAATCCACGTGGCAGTGGGTCAAAACCGAAAAGGGATCTCTTCTAGGCCCGACACTAGATGATTGTGTGACCGAACAGGACCCCCCCTGCAGTAGCTAGTTTTAGTTTTAGTACCGTACTTATACAGGTTGGAGATCCCGAGAAAACCCCCGGCCTCCCGGCGACCACGAATCAGCGACGTCACCCTGTAGATCCCCCGCAGGATTTCAAGTGCACGCCCTTCAGATTCGGCCACATTCCCATTTACAGCCGCTGCAGGGATCTCGCCAGTGCGACCACTTATGCTACAGGATCTATGTCCCTTCATGCTGGGATCGGGAACGAACCCGCAGTACCAACCTGCTGGTTGGATGCCGAAGCTGGAGCCCCACCCTGTTTCTGTTCAAGTTGAGGTTCAGGTTCCACACCACCCGAAGCTTTTTGGTCGTTCAGGTTCGGATTCCATGGCAAAGTGAAGGTTTAAATCTTCACCAGGAGCACTAGTTTCAGGTTTACTCCTCTCACCGGAGTTTTGGCTTCAATAGGAGCACTCTTCACTTGCGGCCCATCCCAGATGATATCACTCAATGGCGATGCAGCAGGATCAAGATGTGCAGGAAGCGGAGAACGAAGAAGCCAGGAGACAGCCGCAGGTTACATCAGTGGTCTGGAGGTTACATCAGTTTGTCGCCGATTTCGAAGTCACATCCGCAGACCGAAACCGAAAAAGAACATCTAAGTTGGGGTCTTCAGGCTAGCCTTCCAACAGAACCCCGGCTTGAGCAAGGCTTGGCTTGAATGATGTTACCAAAGAAACTCTGAGACACAGACCCAGAGGTCTTCCCCATTGGGAGACCCAGACCCAGTGAGTTTTGTTCTTTTGGTGCTTTTTGATACGAGCGGATTCCATCTGCCATGTCAGGACCGGGAGGCCAGGGAGGCTTGGCATGGCAAAGTCAATGACTTGGCCGCTTGGTCGAGGGAAAAGTGTCCAGATGGGATAGTATTTCCCACATTTTGAAAACTCTAAACTCCTATGACGTAAATCCACATATTATTGAGGGTTTGTCTCTTTTGTTTCATTATATTTCTTTTTGTTAAATCTTTTACAGTTGTGTTCTGTTTGTTCATGTTTTGATGGGGAGACCTCGGAGACCTCCCAATCAATGGCTTTTGTCGCTTTTCTTCTTCTTATGTCCCCCACCAAACACACTGGAATGCTGTGAGCGGCTGCTTTGTAGCCGTCACCTGCGCCTCCCTTTGCTATCCGCTACTTGACTTGACACAAATGCAGGTGAATGAAAGACGCCCAGTTGATCTGCTTGGAAGATGTTTGAATCGCAGTTGGGGAATCCCTGACAGCCACCCTGCTTTTGCTCCGACAGCAGGCGGCCCTAGGTTTTTTCGTGCTGGTGTGCGCACGATGAATGCAGCATGCGCATGGCAGGCCCACCGTGGCATCAAGCTGGGGCACATCTTGGGATTTCACCAGAGCCTCTCCGAAGGCCGGGGGCAGCGATGGAGATAATGACAGGTATTTTGGGTCGAACACGGATGACAGTATACATGCCAATAGATACCAGATGATACCAGAAACGCATGACGAGTTCTCTGAAAACCCCACGTCTCTTTGTGAATTCTTGATCGCCTGCGTTCTTATTTTTGACGTTCGTCTTGACCGCCGTCTTCTTCTTCTCGCTGTCACTGTCCACATGGTTGGTCTCCACCGACCGCGAGGCAGCTTGCGTGGGGATCTGGGGCAAAAGCTGATGCCACACTTCGACGCGCAGAAGCCCCTCGCCTCAGCTGGCGACCGGCCGATAGCTCCGCGAGACGTGCTCGGTGACGTGCTTGGCTCGGTGCTGTGCTCCCCTCGAAATTGGAGCGACCACGACTGGCAGGTGTGATCTGATATGGACTGTCTGAAACACATGATGCATGATATAATTGATATAAATCGAACTAATTTGAATATACACCCTTATACACTCAACATTAACCGATAGATTATGATATAGATCACAGTAATGAATACACATCGACTGGTTGGAGGGGGTTTTGTTTCTAATAGCAAACATTGCTCCGTTCGTAGCGATGCCAGGAGTCCCGTTCGTAGCGAACCTTGTTCCGTTCGTAGCGATGCCCGAAATGCTCCGCTCGTAGCGTCCTTGCACCACCTGGCCGGACCACTTTTGGGCCCCGATCATAGCGAGTTCGAACTCCCGCGGAGTTCATCCCAGGCACACGACGCATGATGTGGTGCGCTCAGCCATCATCCCGGTCACCAAGCACACCTCTTATGGATGCCAAGCTGTGAAGAGGTGAAGCATTGGTGAAGCAATGTACTGTAAGTACTGGAGACCCCCTGATTGGACAGGTGCAGACGACTGAACATTTCTGTGAGGTCTTATCATGGTTCGACGGTGGGGCCTATGTGTTTTTCATGGGGACTGAAGGTGGTTTTCGGATGCAGCGCATTCCCCACTTGGAGGGCTTTCCTGGATTGGCCTTTAAGAAGTGGTTGGTTTAGTCAATTGCAGTGCTTTGTGACACAGTGACGCAGTTGAGGAAGCTGCGCCTATGCCACGCTCGCGGAAGGCGTGGGGATTTTCGCGGATTCCCGGCCTGAGACGAAGCGCATCAAGGGCGTAGATGGTCTGGAAGAGAAAGTTAAAGGAACTCTCAAGATGAAAGATGTAGTCTTCTCCGATCTGGCAGCACTTCGGACCTGGCTCCTGGCTCTACAAAGTCTTTTCAAGAGAGAGGTCTTCCAAATCATCGACATGCTGGGGGCAAAATGCAATGTGGCCAAGCGCAATTCCGGCGCACTGGCAATGCCTCCAAATACCGCTCTTGGACAAGCTGCCACTGGTCGAGTGGGTCGAAGTCCCGAACAGATCGACCGGGTGGACCGGGTGGAACGGCACCGAAACAGAACCGGTGGGGCCCCGAGGCGGTGGGGTCCGATGGGTTGGGGGGAGAATTAGGGATCAACACCTTTTTTGGGGCACGTCCACCCACGGAGAGGCCGTGTTGGGGCCGCTTTTTTGGGTGGGAACACCCGACGACCGACGGGTTTGGGTTTTGGGCAGGCAATGTGCCATGCTTGGCCACGGTGATGGTGTCGCACCATTGGCGGAACCTGTTCGGCCACCTCGTGGCAGCGGTCATCGGATATGCCTTGGGCGAGACCAGCTATGAGGCAACAGCACAGCAGCTGAAGGAGAAAAGCTTCGAGGACTTGAGGCAGAGTGCACGACAGTTGGGTAGGATTTTTTGAAACAGCTTTGCTGTGAGGGGCTCTCAATTCTTGCATAGAAACGATCCTTGGCCAAAAGGATTTCTGTCCTGAGTCCTGTTGTCTCCTTTTGTCTCCCATGGCTCTTTGGATGCTGTTTGTCTTCCTTTGTCCCCATGCCCCTTCTGGATGGCCAAGATGATTTCTGGCCTTTTGCCTCCCTTGGTCTCAAATGCCTAAGCAACAAGATGCAAGGAAATTCACTGGCAAAAACACACAGCGAGTCGCCCCTGCTGTTTTGGGTCGATGCTGGTGTAAGGATGTGTAAGGAATTGTTTTGGAAGCTACCATGATTGTTTATTTCAACTCATCCTTTATATATATATATACTTTGGATGATTGAACCCACTGACTCATATTTTTCAACTGAGTTGAAACCACCAACCAAGTATCCATGTGCTCCAACGAATCAGCGGCCGGGGAATGGCCTTGTCCTGGTCAGTGGATAACCTTTGATATGAATGGGTTTCCCCACTAAACTAAACCTTGATTGCTTGACCATGGAACTTATTGAAGCAGTTTTTGGTGGGTTCGTGCACCGGCTCTAGTATCCGAGGGAGAGCTGACCGTAGCAGCGAGTTGCAAAGTTTCGCAGATGGCTTTCGGCTGTCCTGTCCACAAGTGAGAAGTTTTGGTGCCTTGTCAACTGTCATATCGACCCACTGGAAGGCAACGCTTGGACCGACGGGATGCGCTTCAAAATACCTTTTGGATGTGTCTCTTTTGTTTCTCAGCTTCTGTTTTGGTGGTCGTTACGAGGCGATTGGATCTCGGGGGCGGTGAGTCATTCCATTCCTACAGAGACCTACGTGGACTGATGACCAGGGATGTCCACTTGGTTTTGGGGGTTGTTTCTTTGCTGGCCAAGCAGTCTGACCAAAAAACAACCCCATGGTTTGCAACTGGGGGATGGGCGATCGGTCCACAACGAACCACCAAGTTACCAGCAAAAGAAGAGAAGGTACACAAAAACACACCAAGCAGAACGACAGGGGCGCACAAGTTGTTTTGACGACGTTCATTGACATGCCCAAGGCACAAGAGGGTGAACCCGCTAATGTCAGAATACCAAATGTACATCTAATAGATCTAATAGGTGAGTCAATGTCCATTGAGGGTACGGGTCAGGTACTGTATCCCAAGAAAAACATTTCCCAAGAAAACATCCTTGACTCGGGTCAGTTAAAGACCATTTTAAGAATCGTCTTGGACTCGCAGGGTATTATGAAAGGTCAACATGTTGAAGATTCATATTGACCCATCCCGGCCCCATGTCCATGTCCACACATGTCCGTGCCAGCAGCTCGTTAAGGTCCCGAGATACGTTCAGTCTTTGGTTGTTCCACGTGATTAGGACATTGGAGCCTGCTCTTGAAGAATAGGTACGCATTGGCTGACGATATTCTTTTTCTTCCTTGATGCACCGATTCATACTCCACTCCAACCAAAGCCTGACATGGTTCGGGTTGGTTGGGGTTGATCTTTTTCCGCACACCATCGCCACCGACTTGGAGGCACCAGCCGAACGGTGGGTGTGTGACTCTCTCCGAGGTGTGAACCAGCACGCATGCATTTGTGGCGGACTGCCCTCCGCTCCTCAGCGGAAAGAGAATCAGACGGCGGAGCAGTTGCAGGAGCTCTTGGAGTCGCATCATCGAGAAGTCCATGATCCCGTGCCCGCGGCGGCACTCGGAAGTCAGGGACGCCAGGGAACGCAGGTGTGCTGCTATGGACCGCGTGCAAGGGGCTTTTGTGGCTTCCTCAGGTGTTTTCGGATGTTTTCTACACGTGTCCTTCACCACATCAAGGAGCAGGGGGTGCAAACCAGAGCGTGAGCCAAATCATGAGAGAATCTCTCTCTGTCTCTCTCTATCTATCTCTCTTGTAGAATGGTTCTTGAGTGCTGACCTGTTTTGCTCATAGATGGCCTTTTACGCCCTTGTTTGGTTGATGCATAGAAGGGAGACCTAATTGAACAACCAATAGGCAGTATATGGTACCAAATCGACCAATTCTTTGCAAGAGAACACTATTGGTTTTGCTTCCATGATTTTCGGAGGGAGGTATCAGCACAAGTCTCTTTCCTGCAGTTGCTCATAGTAGAAGAGTTAAGATCCCTGGCCCTAGAGGCCGTAGTGAGTTTGCTCTGCTTTTGCGTGCTTGAACAAACATGGGCCATGGCGGCCATGGGCCATGAGTGTGTAATTCAGTCGGGAGAAACCCATGTCTCTTGATTGGGTAGACTGGCCCACGTTTCGAACCCTCCAGGAATTCCTTGCCACCATGTCTCTTCCGATTTCCAGGAATTCCTTGCTCCCCGAGGATGAGCAACAGACTGTTTGAGTGGTGGTAGTTGTCTCAGACAAGGGTCTATTTGAGTGCTAGTTGAGTGGTTTCCATTGGTTCTGCCACCACCACCTCATTGGTGCTGTGACCCCTGCTAGCTTCGCCATGCTTTGCTCGCTGAAAGCTTTCTTGTTGACAGGTGACTGGCCAGGAATTTCAAACATGCAACTGCGACACCACAAAGCATTGGAACACTTCGGCACTTTGCGAGATGGACAAGTTTGCTCCTCGACTGGAAGTGGAGCCATATTTTTTGGAATCTCATTCACCATGTTTTGGGTGGAGGCATGAAGGATGCAGGTACGGCATTTGGGTACATAGCTGATGGGGGGCTTGATTGGATGATGGCATGTGGTTTCTTTGACTACAGACTACAAATGTTTGGAAGATGGATGTCACTTGTTTGTTTCCTTGATACATCTACCCTCCAAGAACGAACATGGAAGCGGACCATGGCCCCTGTTCCAGGGCATGTTCCACCAAGAGAGTCTGTTCCACTTGTCTTTGGACATTCAAGAGCCCGACATGTGTTGCCCGTAGGTCAAATGGGCCCGTTTGACCCAGTTCGGGCACGCGAAACTTCACCACCGACACCGCCTGTTCGGTGATCCGCAGAAGCGAACTGCCGGTGAAGCGGAGATGCTGGCGATATGCTCCAGGTCAAAAACAACGCACGGGTTTGCCTGAAGTGTGATCCTTGAATCCTTGAATGCTTCAAGTATATAGGTTCCGTTTACACCCCGGAAGATTAACATGGAACCTGAACATGGATGTTTGGAAGATTATTTTCCTTTACAAGCCAGTGGCTTTCAGGTTCCATGTTAATTTTGCACAGTGTAATTCAGTTTTCTAGTGTTTCCCATAACTCTTTTGCCGGGACATCCAGTCCCTATACCATACCCAGTGCCACCCACCCTCCCCCCCTCGGGCACGGGGTGCGCTTTCGAAGCGGCGAACTCGCACTTCCTCGGCGCGTGGGCACGTGGCACGCTTTCGACCATCCAGTGATCGGACGATCGATCGACATGAACGATCCCACACCAGCTGGGCCCAGATTCCGATATTCAAACAATTTTTTTCGTATCTTCCGTGCCTTGCACATCGGATCACAAAGAATTCCACAGCCCCCAAAACCTGGCCTTCTGTCTTTCGACCTGGTTCGCGCTTCTTTTAGGACTCGATGATGGCGAAGTTGGACCAGGAAGTGCCGCAGGCGGGGGACCTCCCGTTTCGCTCGGGTGGTGCCGAAAAACCTCGGACGCCGCCCGACCGTTCGACTGCCGGAGAGAGACCGGACACTCCTCTCCGCGTCTACCAGGTGATCCAACGGAAGCTGAGCCACGTCATCGTGGTGGACGAGTCCTTTGAGGCCTCGCTCGGGCGTCGGTCGTCCGTCCGTTCCCGGGCCAGTTCGGGCGGGCGGGGGGGTGCAGCCCGGGGGGCCCCCGGCGCGGAGCGGAAGCTGGGTTGACGTCTTCTGGTTGTGGTGCGTGCCGATAGGTGAAGCATGGCATGCGATGTGTGTTTCTTTGCTGAGTTGAAGTAGCATGGAAATCAGCCTTGGACAAGATTGCTCGCAGGACTGTTTGTTTGCGAAAGTGTCCGGTTTTCAGTGAGTACAAACAGACTTCGCATGGTTTCCCGCTCCTGTGAATGTTGCGGACATGACTTCTCACCGTTTTTTGAGAGACGTGCTTCATCCGATGGTGGACGGTCTTCCATTTGTTGTGGGTGGAGGTCAGTGCATCTCTGGTCGTAGGTCTTTTCGCGGATTTGGGTCATGGCGGAGATTGCCAAAGCGCCACTGGTCAGGGATGGGAGGAAGGTCGAATTGACCAGGTCTGCGAACATGAAGATGACTTGGAAGGCTGAACTGGTATCTGACCAGTTCATACCAGTATAGGACTTTTGGATGTTGTCAACAAGGTGTTTGAGGTCATGGCAATATTTTTGGAGTGGTGAGGACGTCGAGACGTGTTTTTGGTTTCCCAGACCTGATTCCGAACGAGACGTTTGGGAGGCAGCACGGGTTCGTGAAAACGTTGCGGAAGATTGGTTTGATTTTGAGGTGCTTCACCTGGGGACGGCTTAGTTCAGCATGAATATCAGTAAGATGTTGGAATGCCTCAGAGGGTCCAGAGAACTTCCGAGGCAAGAATTGGAGCTGAACCAGGCAGAAACTGCGGACGGGAGAACTCGAGAGAACTGAGGACGACATGATCCGAGTCGATCCTGCAAAACTGGGAACAACCGGGATGACTTGGGGGGAGGGGTCTGGCCAGACCAGGAAAGCACTGGTAACCCGTCCCAAGACCAGACCCGGTTGATCAGGTGAAGACTTATACCATCATGCTGCTCAGAGGCTCATGAACCCTCAAACTGCTTTATGTTTGAGGTCCAAAACCCTGGCTGCGAGGGTCAAAACCCTAGCGAACTTAGGGTCCTTTTTCTGAGCCTTTGGGTGTAGAACGACCTGGGTTGCATGGAGGGGAGGGACGTCGCGCAGAGCAGAGATAGGAGGACTGCACTCCGCGCGGGACTCCGAGGAGGCCCCAGGCTTTCCGGTGACCTGGGGAGAGGGTGTCGGTAGATTTGAAAGACAAGCTTTCAACAAAGACATGTTCACAACTCTAAATAAACACCGATACCTGGCAAGTTGGAAGACAACGTTCCACTTTTGTTGAAGAATTTACCGCCACAACTCTCGATACACAAGCCTTCTATCATCCTTCACAACCAGGTGGTCACCGTTCATTGCCCCTTTTCATGCCCGGAGGTTGCAATGCTCTTCCCTCCGCCTGAGCGGCTGAATGTGACCAGCGCACACGACCCACAAAAAAAAAGGCGGAGCCAGGCGAGCCCAGCCCGTGGGCGCTGGCCCGTTGGGCGAGTCTCAAAACACGGATCAATAGACTCGATATTATCCCAGCAAGAGGCCCCAAACAGTGTGTGAGGTCTAGAGGTGTGTCCACACTGTTTGGGGAATTAAAAGAAGACCTAGATTGGGCCAGACTTTCGGGGGTCTATCTAGTCAGGGCCAATCTAGATAGATTGGGCAAGGCTTCGGTGAAGCCACGACAGGACCGGTCCATGAAAAACTAGGGTAACTAGCAGGAACAGGCTGTGACATGTGATAGGTTGAAGTGGAGGGATTTTTTTTTCCGGCCATAATTTTGGTGGGTTACGTTCTCTATGGTGATGGAGATAAGAGAAGCATTTTTGCGCTCTAAAGACGTGGTGATTTGGCTTTCCTCCCACAGACTGTTCATCCTGTCAGATGGAAAGAAATCGTTTGCACCATTTATATACACAAAACCGCTAAGCCCAACGAGCATTCCTAACAGTTGAGAGAATTCAACCAAAGCCAGCATTGGCCACTGCAACACGCCCAGGGCAAGAGCCTTGGTTTGCAAACGTTGCTTGGAGATTGGCTCTATCGCCAGGAATGTGCCGGTTGCTGAGCAGATTGGTTGCGACAGCTGAGCAAGAATTTGTAAAACTGGTCAGGCAGTCGTATGCTTCTGGGTGGCGGGTGGCCGGAAGGCACCTAAAAAGGTTGATTTGGCAATTAGCCACTTCAGCCACTTCCACAGGCAACTTTTGAGCAAGTTGGCAAGCTTCTCTCTTGCTCAGTAAAGGTGGAAGAACAGCAAACAGCAGTGTCACTGCTTTCACCTACCACAGCATTGGAGGTGTTGAGCTAGCAAGCTGCTGTCCAACCACTGCACATAGTGCTCATCAATCTTTGCCAGGAAGCCGACATTTGTATGGTACAGGTCATTCTGCCTGACTGGAGAGCACGTGGAGAGAGCACGTCGTCTCACCCTCCGTCCTGCGAGGTGCCGGCGAAGGCGGCCTTGGAGGTGGCGCGCGTGCGGGAGACCTTGGACATCCGAAACTGCAAAGCGAGCCGCCAGGAGGAGCGGAAGCTGGGGGCGGTGGAGGGGCTTGGGTGCTTTTGCAAGGCCGTTTGGAGGGTCTCCAGGTTTTGATGGGAAGCTGGTGGAAAACACGAGGGGAGCCATGTAGAAGTTCATAGACGTGTTGGCTGAGGTGGGGAGGTGGGTGCAGACAAGCATATCCGCAGAATTTTCAGATGAGCAGCCTTGTTTTTGGGTTTCTTGTTGCCCTCCCCCAAACGGGTCCCATTCACTGGAATGACACATCCATTCAGAGCGCGGAGTGGCCTTTCTGGCGTTCTGTTTTTCGTCTGGCTTTCGGACAGCCACAAGGCCCAGCGCCATTCAGCACCACCCCCGTTCAACTGGTCGGTCACGCTTACGCGACCCCCCCCCAGCTCGGTGTTTCGATCCGAAACGGGCACCACGCTGGTGCTGGGACGTCCGAGGCGGCCAGGCGGCCAGGCTTCGTGTTCGGCGGTCCGGGTCCGTCTGACACGGAGATCAAACGGATGAGGACGTGGATGCCATTTTAGCATCGATTCCGGTCGCTTGGCTGAGACATCTTTCGAACACGCCGTTTCCCTTCTTTTTTTGGTCGCTGACAGAAGGGATGGATGTGGAGATGATCAGGATCTCTCAAAGATCCCAAGAGTGGTTTTTCAATGGCGCTGCTTGACAGCTCTTTTCACCTCTCAACCTAAACACTAGAGACTTAGGAGCCCGTAGACTTCGGTTTGAACTTCCACTTCGGGCTCGGTCCAATCCCCATCGCCTGATCTCCCGAGCATCCCATCGCCTCTGGCAGTGCATTCCTCGCTCCCGGACCGCCGGACCGAAGTTCCGGACCTCCGGACCGGAGCGCCAGTTACAAGGACGTGGAGGCCTTCAACGAGCGGTTGAAGGAAGTGCTCTTCAACGAGCAATCGGGGCTCCTGGAGACCTGGAGTGCCTCGCAGCGAGGGGAGCAGGTGGGGAGGTGGGGGAGGTCGCCGGTGAAGGGGTGTGTTGAGTCCCAGCGAGTGGATGTGACAGGGGCACCCGGAGAAAAACCTCCATGGGAGTGCTATCGGCTTTGGAACTGGAGGCTGCTGAGTCATCTCTCCGAGGTGCCGAGCGCTGCGCGGGGTTCTTTGATGTCATCGACCCCTTGAAGGACCTGGTGGCGGTGGAGCAGCTCACAGCCCCACAGGCGCCATTCTTCTAAGGGCGCCGGTGCAAGTGACAGAGGGAGGGATCGACGGTGTTCCCGGGGGTTGGAATATTTTTGAGTGAGATCACCGGATGTCGAACCATGCGATAGTTTCTATAGAAACATGTTATATATTTTTCTTGTGCCGCATGTCAACAGGTCGTGGGATTGTGCCTAGCTCTGGGTCTATGCTGGCGTAATCTTTTTTATTTTGTTTCTTCCATGGAATCTTGCTACAATGATGGAGAGCTCCGCTTTGCTTCACATCCAGCCGGGTCGCTTGGATCCCCCGTCTGCGGAGGTCATCATGTTGGGCCAGGAGCGGAGCGTCGCGTCCGCGTCGCCTCATCCGGGGGGTCCCAAACAAGTGGGTCCGTCGCAGGATGGGTCTCAGGTGAGGAGAGGTGACACAAACACCCTCGAAAAAGGCCGAATTTGCCGCCTTGGATCGCCATTCAATGCTCCCGACACCTAGTAGCTTCTTGTTACTAGTAGCAAGGCCAGGAGCCCCTAGTAGCTTGTTCACCTGGACTGTCATGATTCTTTTGTGGTTGTTGGGCGAGTTTGCGGCGATCAAAGAGGGTGACATCCTTCAACCCACAACTTTTTGGGTTGTGACAATGACAGAGAACTGGTGTGTTGAACAGGCTTGGGGTGCTCCCCCTTCAATACAGGGGATAACGGTGATACTGCTTCCATTGATTAAGTTTGTCTCTTTAGAGCTATTAGGGTTCTTACTTCGAGTGCAGTATAGGAAGAGGTGCCTGTGTGCATAAGTGTGCGCTTTGGAGCCTGGGTGCTGGTGCTACAGGGCGCCCACAAATATCTTTTGCTATCTGGGGTCTATGCCCAAATGAGACAGATAGAGTTGAGATGAGTGTCTATCCATAGCTATCTGGGGTCTAATCTTCATTTGAGATGAGTTCGCCTCCCAATGACTTGTCTGCCGGATAAACTGCCGCCGTGATTGCTTGACCACTGTCACCGGCGTGCAGGAGAGCACAGGGAAGTCAACGCTATTGGAGCGTTTGACGGGACTGCCAATCTTCCCTAGGAATGCAGATCTGTGCAGCTTGGTGTCGTTACAAGTAGAGGAGGCAGGTCCAAGACATGATACAAAGGGAGATGTTACACACACACACACATCTAGCAGGGGCTATGATTATGAATAATCTATCAGCACTGAACGCATCAGAGTCCTTGTGGGTCTCTACTGTTGAGAGATCAAAAAGCACCTTCATATTGATGGAGACATGCTGCACCATACTCCCATCGACCCCTGCAAAAAGTCGATGCTCCATAAACGAAAACGAAAACAGGCCTTGGGCGACCTTGGTCCAACAGCAGAACCTGGAAACTATTTTCTTTCAACTCTGCAAAGACTTGGATCCCTGCACGACATGTTTTTTGGCAAGAGTCACGTGATTTTTCTATTCTGCGATGCTTTTTGAATTAAAGCTTTTCAACGGTGTGTGGACCCAGGGAAGCGCTGAAACGGTCTGAGTCGCTACCTTCGTCTGCCGGCCCTCTCAGGCACGCGTGCGCTGATCAAAGTGCGTCTGAGACGGGGCGAGACGCGGAAGCTCAAACTCTTGGTTCAAGATATGCAGTCGCAAGAAGATGAACCCAGTGCAGCTTGCTTGATTGGAGGGATTGGATTGATTGGCTGATTGATTGACTGATTGACTGATTGATTGATTGATTGATTGACTGACTGACTGAATGAATGAATGAATGAATGAATGCATGACTGACTGGAAGCCCCTTGTTCCTTCCGGGTACAAGGGGCCCAGGGGTTCTTCGTTCCACGAATCCCATGTCGCTGGTTTCATGCTGCTTCAGCGGACCAACCCTTCCGGTCTCTCCACCGGCAGTGCTGTGAGCTTAAAGCCTCGGCATCGCATCCTTTTCTTCAGCCAAGGCTTTTGGAGAGGAACTGGAATTGAAAGACTTGGGAAACGCCGTGATGAAGGAGATGACTCGACAGGCGAGATGCCTTTAGGGACTGAGGTGCTGGGTGGGGGGTAACCCCAGCTATCGCGTATCAGCTGGCTTTACCAACGAGAGCCACGAACAGTTTCGCAAAGACTGGATAGTTTACTCCATAGAGTAAATCAGTGAATCAGTACAGAAATGACCCCCCCCCACTACCAGAATGGTTCCATATTTATACATCTCCACATTTTTCGAATTTTTATGAATCAACAGTCCACAGATGTCCACAGTACGTGATATGTGTGCATTTTTCCTGGTTACAACGCGACCCAACTCATAGATCCTTGGGCCGTCTGACAAAAGGACGTCCGCTTGGCTGTTTTGCGTCGCTTTCGACCAGCCCCCCCCCCCAGGTGCGGTTGGAGGCTTTGAGGTCAGAGTCTCCTGCGCAAAGTGAGAAGTTCTACGCGCAACATGTGCGTCCCTGGTCTTCAGCGCGCCTGCGTAGAGAGCGCGTGGGTCTCTACAAGGGGGATCATTTTGTGACATCTGATTGAAGGACACATAGTTTGTTCTCGTTTTAATGGAGCACTATGATATTTGATGCTGCTTCTTTTTGTCAGGTTCTGCTGTAGAGCTGTCTCGTATTCTTGGAGAGGGGGCGCTTGATGGATCTACAACATACAGTGAACCGTTTTTGTGCAACCCCTGCGGGATTTCTCATCGAATGTGGCACTCCGGCATAGCGTGTTTGCACATAGATCCCGTGGGTGGGCAATGAGATCGTCTGTCTGCAAGAGGTCCAAACAACAACCTGTTTGCGTAGAGCCACCACGATAGGGGACCCACTTGATCATGAGGATATGAGCCTATTTAACTATATACTACTCTTGATATCTCTTAATCATAAATCACTCATAACTGCTCTCAATCCACTCGTAACGACTCACAACTCGCTCATAACTACTGTTAAGGGCTATAACATCTGCTTTTCAACTCTTTCAACTCTTCACTACCTAGTAACTGCTCTTAATCTCTCAGGAAATCACGCATTTTTGATCTTTTTTGATCACTCCTTGCATTCTTATATCGCATGATATAACCTCCAACCGTCTTCTTTTCTCGAACCCGAACTGGGCCACCGCAAGTGGTGCGTCTTCGTCTCGCCCCCGAGGCGAGGACCCCTTGGACGCTGGGTTCCCCCGAGCGAGCGTGCGTTGGCGTTGGCGTTGGCGTTGGTCCGTTGGGGGGTATGAACAACGACGGTTTCGACCCGTTTTCTTTGGGGTTTGGGGAGGTTTGGTGTTGGAGGCTGATGCCTTTTTCCTGGTGAAAAGGGTTTCTGATGCGGCCCAATGGGTGGGTAGGAAGCTAAACATAGTCAGTCTAATTGTGTCTAATGAGTCTAATGCAGTAGATGAGGGCCTTGCTGGTGACGTTCATGGAGGGTTTCTGGGTTTTCACTTTGCCCCCAACTCCTTGCCTTGGCCAGTCAGATCGACGAGCGAAAGCACAAATGTTCTGCGGTCGATGCGAAAGCCCCGGACTCCATGACTCCGGTGGCCACGAGCTGCGTTGGCCACCTTAAATGGCTTGTGCTCTGAGGAGCCTTCAGATGGCTTGTGCACCAAGAAGCTTCTGGTGGTCGAGCTGATTTCGCCCAAGGCGATGGGCGCCCGCCACGGACGAGACGTGGGCGGCCAGGGGTCAAGGTCAGGTTTGCTGGCCGGTTCAGGCACCTGAAACATGTGAATTTTTTTTCGCTGTACCCTCATCCCGAAGACAACGTCTGATTCAATTTCAAACCGCGTTTTGTCGCCACGTAAGATGAGAAACACAGAACCCACCCGTGGGCGTGGGTGATCAGTACTGAGTAATGATGGTTTTTAAGGCCACCAGGTCAGAGTCGAAGAGGGTTTCCCAAGAATCCCAAGCGTATTTGTTTCTTTTTTCCGTTTCCTTGACACGCTTCTTCAGCGCTCTTATATAGGGGGCAGAACACCCCCGAGCTCCTCCAGCGAATCCCTTTTGGCTCGGAAGCTGAGGCACGTCACGACACGTCACTGTCCCGAGGCGCCCAACCTGGACGTGGTGGACTGCCCTGGTTTAGTGGCCGCCGCCGCCCTGGGCCGGCCGGAGAACGTGGCGGCGAGCACCGCGCAGCTGGTGAGGTGCCGTAGAAACTGCACGGGTGGAGACGGTTTTCACATAGGCTGAAGCAACCAGAGGTGTTCATCTCTGATTTTTTGGGGGGGTTGAAACGTCATGAAGACAGTTAAGGAACAACCCCGCCTCTGGACTGGAGATGTAATCTGTATATCGTTTGACATGGTTTGATTGTCCAACCCCTAGCCTCCTGGTTGACCATTCAAAGAAAGCTTGACCTGATCTTGCCATGTAAATCATGAAAAGCTTTAAAAGATCCTTTTGTAGAGTGAACACATGTTCGGGATTCAGGCTCTTATTCATCCTTATAGCAGCCCCAGGAAACTCAGCCTACTTGTCCTCCACTCTTCGCTCCCATCCGCCGTTCCGCCCTCCGCTGAAGTTGCTGCGCTCCCAGGAGCTATGCGAAGAAACACCGCCACTCGGCGCTCTTCGTGGTGGCCGTCAAGGCATCGGAGCAGCCGAACAACTCCTTGGCCATGCGCTTGGTGCAAGAGGCCAGCGCTCTTCGGGTTGAGTGTGAGGGGTGAGGTTGCTAGGTGTGGAGGTGGGTGCAGCGATGGGCAGTGCTTACGGGGTGCGGTTTTTGTGCCAGAGGGACGCAAAGAAGACGGTTGGCCTCAGAATGTCTCGACAGTTTGGGGAATCTTTGTCGGCATGTGTCCTTACCTTTTGCCGGCATTTGCCGGCCATTTTTGAGCAACACCACCAAGTATCAAGTTCCCAAACAAATTTGCGATCAGAAAACATGGCTCGGCCAATGTACAACAGAGGTTGCAAGCCAGGAGGAATGTAGCAGATTCCACATACTCATACTCAAAGTTCAAACATGGCCAAGCCTGTAAATGGAACACAAGACCAAACCCAGTGGCGGGTCAATTGAACCGATCACTACCTTTCCTCCACTATCTCTGAATACCGTCGGCTATTCTCGTGCACCTCATTTGCAGCATATACCAAAACTTACCCGAACAGGAAGACACCAGGACATCTTATGCCTTTGGTTCCAAGTAGCTCCAACCGAGCTCCGGGGCTAGACCAGATTTCGCTCATTGATCACCGGTCCCCTGTCTTTCGGCTCCTTGTTTTGGGGGGCGTTTCTCCCCCTCGCCTTCCGCGGAACCGGAGCAGGTGGGGTTGGAGCGCTGCGCCTTGGGCGTGTTGACCATGACGGACATCCTCACGGGAGAGCCTCGCCTTCCGCCGAAGCGGCGAAGCGCGCGAAGCGACAGAGAAAGCACGACATGGGCTCAACAGTGTTGGGGAGGTTGAAGAAAGCCTGTGAGTCGGAGATGGGACCCCCTTTTTAATGTAACTTTCTTTATTCCGTTTACTGGTGGGGTTCTCTCTTATAGGAAGAAAAGGGCTGCCTTGATCTGTCTTGGGCGTGTCGTGGGCCCTGCCTTCTCCGCCTTTTCTCCACCGCCTTGTCTGGGTTCGTTTTTGGTGTTGGCGCCTTGTCCGCTGTCGGTGCTTTTTAGGTGTTTTTGCATTCTCGTGTTGCGGCAGTGTGGAATTCCCTCATGCCCTTCCGGCAGATTTTTATGTTTCGTTTGAGTTTCTTCGCGCTGAAAAGAGGGAACACACATGAAAGCATATGTTTGACACATTTGAAGGCGGCGTTTCCACCAGCGTTCTATGCTGCGGGTATACATATTTTTTGAAAGTGGTGGCTTGGTTGTGTTGGAGACCAATACGGCTGGTACTTGTGATCTTCCGCCACGGCTTGCCGTGGAAGATCAGAACGGGAGTTCTTCTTGTAGCAGTGGCGGATGGGCTATGGCAGTGTGGAGAATCGGATGGGATCTGTCCCCTGTGGTTGGTGATTGACTTCCAGGCCAAATTCGCCGGTTATCCCAATTACATCCGTCGGTGGCGGCATGACAGCCCGAAGTAAGTGGGCTGGGTGGTCAACCCCCATCGCCGCTGTAGCCGCTGCAGGAGCTGTCGAGTTCAGGGTTATGAAGTATGACGCTCCAAGTTTCGACCGAGAACGTATTCTAATTCTAGTTCTAATTCTTGTTCCTCATGGCTTCTTGTTACTAGTAGTAAGGCCAGGAGCCCTTAGCTTGCTCCTAGTAGTACGGCCAGGAGCCCCTAGCCTAGTAGCTTCCTTGCTCCTGACGCTCCAAGTTTCGACCGAGAATGTTCTGATTGACATGAGGACTTGACCGATGGCACCACGCGTTTGCACTCCACGTTTCTGAAGCACCATGGCCCTCGACTGCTTCAGCTCCTGAAAGCCTCCAATGACCAGGGTGGTGGAGTGCACCTCTCCCTCGGTTACACCCTGACCGCTCTCCACGATGTGCCTTAATTGAGACTTGAGACCGAACATGGCACATGTGTTTTGCCTCAAAAAGGGAGATGGCAAAAAAACACGACCTTCCCAAGACTACCCTGCACAAAGTTAAGTAGACTGGATCTCCATACCGTACACCCAATAAATGCGGGGACCCTGTCCGGAGCTTTGCCGAGTTGCTTAGATGTCCATGGACTGGTCAAAACCAATTTCATGTGGACCAATGACCCGGGAACATCACAGCTGGCCGGAGATGATGGTCAAGGTCCAGAGACTCCATGGCAAGTCCAGGGACTCCATCCTTCGTTCTTATCGTTTTTGGTGCCCTGACATTGAACCTTGGCGCCCTCGGCACCTGCCAGCGTTTTTGGTGGAGCGCACTGCGCAGCGGCAGTGCCGGGTTCGTGGGGATCTCCTCACGGTGACATTATGTAGATCTCTTAGATTGGGTAAAACGGCCACCAATTGAATTGGACATCCTCTTCATATCAATCACGTGTAGAACATAAATAAATATATATATATATATACAATAAGGGCGGAGCCTCGGCTGTGCACGCGGAATTTGCCTCGCCTGTACACGCGCATAGATTTACTCGGTTGTGCACGCGCTCCTCGGCTGTGCACGCCGCTTGCTCGGCTGAATGAATGAATGAATGAACGAACGAACGAAGGAATGAATGAATGAGTGGGTGAATGAGGGACTGAAGGAATACATGAAAGATGAATGAATGAACAAATGAATGAAATGAAATGAACTGAACTGAAGTGAAATGAAATGAACTAAACTGAACTGAGCTGAATGAAGGAACGAATGAAAATGACTTATGAATGAACGAACGTTATTAACACCCCCGACCCCATCCCGACCCAACATCATCAATCAAACGCAGAGCATCTGTGTGACGTGGTTCTGTGGAAGCAATGAGCAAAAAGAGATCATCATGACTCAATTTGTGTGTGCGCAGGTGAGCGAAGTCTGTGTGTGCAGATGAGTTGGAGGTAGCATGCACTGTTTAAAGAATGTAATCGATGTGTGCGCAGCTGAGCGAACCCCGTGTGCGCAGGTGAGTTAAATGTATAAGAAAAGGCTGTGTGCGCAGGTGAGTTAAATCTTGTGTGCGCAAGTGAGGCGCCATCCTATATATATACATATAATATATTAGATATATACAAAACATACAATTTATAGATCTACAGTCCACAGTATTTGGGCTTTATTCATCAAGAGATCTACATTACGTGACGCACGCCGCCTCTTCTGTTCTGCCGCCTCGGACGGTTAGCGCCACGCGCCCAGGTCTGTGAGGATCGCGGCTGGCTGAGCCTGTCGCGTGTGGATGCCATGGCCCAGTGGGAGCAGCGCTACTTTCTGCAACTCGCCAAGCAGTGGGCTGCGGCGAATGGAGATGAGTTGGACCCCAACTTCTTGTTAGTGCCTCGCCTGGGTGAGGGGGTTGAGGTTGGTGCTGTAGGTTGCCTAATCTTCGGTGAAGATGATGTAGATTCCTTTTGATTTTGTTGGCGCGAATTGCGGATGCGACACGGATCGTTGAAGACTCTCTTTGTGCTTTTCAACCAATAGATTTGTGATGTGGTCCACGGATCCAAACCTTTTTTGAACTTGATGATTTTGGCATCAGTAGGGTGATGATTTCTCCTGGTGAGAGAAACACATGCCTAATAAATGCCTTCTAAATCCGAGGTGCAATAGTAAATCTCAGAAACTTCTATGGCTCCGCTCTTGAGCCATATTTTCTTCGTGTTGGTCGCCCAGGAGCGATGCTCCTGCAACAGCTTGTGGCGCCACATCAAAGATGCAGTGGACCAGTTTGTGCGGGAGAACTGGTTGGCCGCTCGACGCACTGGTCGGGACCTCCCTGGTCGGCATGATCGCGCTGGTGAGCAGAATTGAATGCATTGAAGCAAAGAGCCATGTTCCATGTGAAGAGCCCAGAGATGTAGAATGGGGGGAATCTTGGCTAGCTCAGGGATAGCTCTCTAAAGAGGTGGCTTTTAGATTCACTTCCATGAGTGCTGTTCCAGCGCTTCATCTCCGAAAAGCAGGCGGCAGGCGACCCGTGCTGGTCCTCCAAACAGCTGAATTCCGACCGCCCAGCGGTTCCCGATCCGACGCGTCGTGCGTTGTCCCAGGTCAACACCATGAGCAAGGTGCCTTGTCCTGAAACTGAAAGCTGGTGCTAAGGACGAATAGCTTGCCAAGTGCTCTTGATCCTACCTTCCTCAGCCTTCCTATCCTTCGAAAAAGGCCCTTTCAGTTCTTTGTAAGAGGGGGCTGTTTTGTTGGAACCAGTCACTCCTGCAAAAGACACTTGTAAAACTGAGGCAGGGTCGGCAGGGTCTTTCAAAGTTAACTGAGCCTCGAGCAATCATAGTCTCCTATTGACGGTGGAACAGTCTTGGGATGAGGATGAGAAGAGGTCTTGTACGCTTTATTTTCAACGTCAACGATGAGTTTCAGTCTTTGCATCATGACCCCCTTTGCCTTGGACAAGGTTCACTGCTGACAACGCGCACTGTACTCAGTACTCTTCTTGGACTGCTCCACCACCATGTGCCATGTCACACTTCGGTGGATCTTGCCACTGTAAATGCAGCGCTGTGTGGAAATGCAGCGCTGTGTGGACCCAGTGACATAGCCAGTTGGTTTTCTAACAGAGAAGGCCAAACCAACGAGTGTCCCATTTCTGTGCGACCTCCTTTTTCCGCTGAAACCGCTTTGTCTTTGCCAGGTGCGACAGGAAGAGCAGGAGAGGCGACCATGAGAGGGTCTTCAACTGTGCCGGGGTGCCACTTTTTTGGTGGGATCTTCAGCGCAGGTTGTGATTCAGGGCCTTGCTACTGCTGATGAAGTCTAGTCACAGGCGAAGATCCTGGTGGTCCAAAGAAACTCAATGACTGTCTTGGTAGAGGCCAGAACCAGCTGCCTCTACCTCACAGCTGCCCAGCTGGTCGTCCGATCTGCCCCAGCTGTCACCGGAGGAGATCCGACGCCAAGAGCTGGCCTTGGGCCTCCCCCGCGCCCTGGCCCCAGCGCACCTGGCGGAGCTGCGGCGCCAGGGGGATTTGCTGCCGGGCACTCTTCGGAGCGTGGTGGAGACAGAGGAGATGGGACGCTTGAGGAGACCCCAAAGAGATTTGTGGGGGTGAGAGGCAGAGAGTCCAAAGGGTGGATGGGGAGAGGCGGAAGGTGTGAAAGAAGTGGATGACTTGATGATGACAACAGGGGGGTGATTCTTTTGAACGTATTCTTGTGTATACTGTATACTGTATATAAATATACTGTATACGGTATACGTATAACTGTTTGTATAACCCGTCTGGACCCCCCACAGATCTACAACTTTTGCTTCTCGAATGCATGTCCAAGCCAAACCATAATTGTACAGGTCATGTACACTCAACGCTTACTTTTGGCTCAAGTGCAAGAAAAGGCGCGTGTATCTTTGGTCGACCACACGAACGCCGACTCGCACGTTATCAATGGGTATCAGCCGTAGCATTCTGCTACGTGCTACGTGTTGAACTGAGAGACTTGCTGGACTTTGAAGAGACATCCTACGTAGGTTTGGCTTAGCCAACCTTGAGCAGGGGCCCAGGCCTACCCGCTGTGTGATTGCAAAGAAAAGGGCAGTTCAACCTTTCTTTAGGAAGAAAAACCAAACAGATTATCAGGCCGAAGCCAAAGATTATCCTTAGAGCTTATGTTTTTTGGGCTTGTGGTTTTGGTTTGGGAGTCTACAAGAAGAAAGCCAATGGAGAAGGGATAGAGCAAATGCACGTGGGGAGCACGCGTCATTGCACATAGAGAGTTTAACTTTGTATTTTTTGCAAAGGATCAAGCACGGGGGTGGGGGCCCGGGTGGCCCGGGTGACCCTCCTGGGGAAAAGGTATCCTCGGACTTCAAAGAACTGATCCCCCACTAGCATCTCACTGCAAAATGAATATCCATTCCTCATTTAAATGCAGTTCCCAAGCCCGAGCCCCATTTTATAAAGCAGATAGTCGGTATGTGCCCAAATCAGAGGTTAGATTCTCATCTTTCTGCCTGATGAGAAGGAACATTTCACTTAGCTAAGATGGGCGCCCGGTCGAACCATTTTTTAAACAGAGCGCTGGCGTTGAAGATTTGGTATTGGAATGTAAGGGAGTCATATGGAAGCTTTCCAAAATCTTCTTTGCCAGAAGGATGCTCACGGATGGCGATAGTTTGAAAATGTTTGAAAGTGAAAGGCCACCTAAGGAACAGACACACAATGGTTGTTTATAAAGTTATCTTTTGTGAGAATTTGAAGCTCAAACAGTGAAAGCAGATGAAACAACCATTTTATAAAGCCTGCGCCTCCGGAATTTGCATTGTGGTGGTTTGTAAGATGACCTTTTGCGAGAATTTGTGGCTAAAAGAGTGACAGTAGATGAGGAGCACCGTTTTATAGAACATGCACCTCCAGAATTTGCCCTCAAACAAACCAAATCCTTGTTTGGAAAAAACATTGCAAACAAATGAAATACTCAGACTCAGATCTTGGGGGGGGCTACCACATACATATACTGTGTGTGTGCGTCAAGGCAACGCTAGCTATGTGCCAATCTTCTTCCACCCCCCCATTGACGTCAATTCACCCAGAAATACCACTGTAAAGTGGAATGTTGGTAGCGGCGCCTATACCGGAAACATTTGAATGTGTGATGCTGCATAAACAAATTGTGCTACGGACAGGATTGGATATATGCAAGGAAGCCTTATGCCCAAGAGCTTTTTCTCATGCTAGGTTGCCGCATTGCGTTCTGATCGTGTGTCTTTTTTGGCCAATCCCGGGTAGAGGGCTGTGCGGCTGGATATGGTATAGATTATCCCACCGAAAGTTGCATTCAACGTCTGTTTGTGAAGCCAACCTGGGAGACTTACTGCGCATGCATGATGAAGGCAATGTACAATGGACCCTGGCTTGTCGCTTCGCGCAGAAAGCACTGGCTGAAGAACAGGCCAGCAGCCTTGCAAGTCTATGAGCAATTTAGATTGAGGCAGGCTCACGCAGCTCCAGGCGAGCCATTGACAAGGCGAGGGATCCAAAAGTGGGATGTGCTGGCGGAAGCGATGGTCTGTCCGCCGCGGACGTCTCCGTGTTAGAGACTGTGTGGGTCCTGCCGATCTACGTTAAAAGGCCGGGATGGGCATTTTTTTGGTCTGAAAAACGAGTCCATCTGGCGGCCTTCAAAAAAGGCCCCATTGATGCGTTGGTCCTAAAAGTAAGGCCGGAAAGCGGTTTCACTTTTGGCACCGGTACGCAGACCCAAAAATCACATTTTGAGCAACCATTCACCTCACGCGATCTTGGGCCTCAGGTTTGGACCTTCTGGCAAAGTTTGTCGTACATTGCCGACAAATACAAAGATCGGAAGCTGCTCTGATTAAACTTTGATGAGACGTCCGTAGCATATGCGCCACAGTGTCCGACTGGGCGCATCGTTTCTAGAAAGCATTGGAAGGTCAATCCACATTGCACAGTGCGCAAAGAGGCCTTGACCTTGTAGTAGAACTTGTCATTCTCCTCGTGGAGAGAGGTTTCTTTGCCGCGGTATTCGCCCGCAGTGGACGTGGTGATGAGGGTGGTGCTTTACCAAGAAAAGAGGCTCTTGAGGATGTCCAGATTGAAGGTCTCGGAGTAGACTGCCATGAAGTCATCAACGTGCACAATCATGAGGCAGTCGAGGAGGCCGTCTTCACCGCGGTGGGTGTAGAAGCACCTGTCAAAAGAGTGCTGTTCGAAGGAAGCACCCTTGACCGTGCGGTCCACTTTCTTGTACCACACTCTGGGAGCGTTGCTCAGGCCGTAGCGCTTGATGGTGACCTCGTGCAAAGGAGCGGAGAAGCCACCAGAAGCTTGAATGATGGGGTCGAACAGCGGCAAGTCATGCCGTTCAGTTGAGTCCTGTTTGCCCTGTAGGAATGCCTTCTCGGCAGCCCGGTTAAACCTTGGAGCCGTTTTCCACACTGCTTTTTTTGGCCAAAGGGTTGCTGACGCACAGTGACGAAAAGCTTTCCTGTAGGTCAAGAAGCGTAGCCAGCTGATGAAGAAGGCGCAAGGCCTGACGGTGGCGGACCTTGCTTGGCTAATGGCCCAACGTGCTTCCGAGTGAATGCGGCCAATTGCAGAACCTTGGTGAAGCCACGCAGGGGTGCAGCACTTTGGATTCTACGTCAGGGTGCTCTTCGCGCAATGGTCTCTGCGATCTTGCGACCGGGCGAAGCCCGGGTGTGGACGCATGCGTCACTTCGCTTCTAAAAGAAGCAATGAACCGTTCATTGTACACGCACGCTTGCTGTCACTGAGCTGGTGGTGTCACTTGAATCAAAAAAGGCAACCATATGAATGCGTGCTCCTTTCAACCATGCTGGCACTGCGAGGGGACATGCTTTAGAAGCTGGAAATCAATAGGTTTCGTGGCCTTGAAATTGGCGCCCTGTCGCAGTCACGCCTTTTCGCCACAGCATTTCGGAAGCCTTCCGAGTGCTAACCACAATGGCAGGGATGAAATCGGCGCAGGACATTGAAAAATAGGCCCATGCCTTCCGAATGCAAATCACAATGGCAGGAATGAAAATAGGCCCGAGCAGTGGCCAAATAGGCCCAAGCCTTCTGATGGCAAATCGCAATGCAATGTCAGTGATGAAATAGGCCCAAAGATTCTCTGAAATTTGTTATCTTTTAACTTTTCTCTTTAAATTCAGACACTTCTTGGGCCTATTTCCGCCCTATCATTAGGAATTGCTCCCGAACGCTTGGTCCTACGCTTGGGCCTATTTCATCTCTCACATTGTGATTTGTGTTTGGAAGGCTTGGGCCTATTTTGGCGACTTCTGCTCCCTACAATTAGGAATTGGCCTACACCCTTACCTTTTTTAGACATTGAGACAATTGTCCTCCACCATGAGAGGACGAGCGCGAAATCCTCCTCTTACGCGAGTTGTCCGACTTTGAATCAACAGCAGAAACCCACGAGCCGCTATGTCGCCTGTTGGGCGACGGCGGCGGCGCTGCTCGTCGGCGCTGATGTGTGAACTCGTGGAGGCGAGGCCGCTCGGCTGTTAAAGCCGGTTCTGCTAACTTCATGGCCGGCGCGGGCCCTTTTTGCGGAAGCGTAGGCTATTCGTGGGCCATTCCTGGGCTTGTTGTTTTTTAAGAACACAATTGTTGCAAAGTCTGGGCAACCTTCGCAGAAATTTGTGGAAGGTGTTTAGATGTACTAATTTCCTGAGTGATAAAAGCAATCTTGGTGCACCCTTTCCCGCTCACCCCCTGCGGTTTCCCTCCTTATGAGAATCACAGACGCTTCATGCCTCAGGCGCTGTCTCTACTCGGCGGCGCTGTTTGGCGGCGTGAAATTGTCCGAAACAGAACCCACCATGCTTCGTGCGCATGAAGATCTACGTGCTTCGAGCTTGCATCACGACCATGAAAGACATCAAGCCCTGTGCCGCCTGTTTCTCCATGTGGGTTGCGCAAGGACGCGATGTGACGAAATTTGCGGGGCAGGGTTTTCCTCCCATCTCGGAAACGCAGAATGCAGTGACCACTTTCGAGCCACCCTCCTGAGAAAGAGTTGACGCCCCAGACCTGGTAATTCAATAGGCTACTCTCAAAACAGTCTTTTCCCAAAACAAGCCACATGGATGTTTCCTGTTACACTTCTTCACTACAAATCCCCCATGCCCCTTGTAATCAATGTTAGTAAGCGACATGGTTGCTGTTTTACATCTCCAGTACAACCCCCCCATACCCCCTTGTCATCAGTGTTACTGTTACAGATGTTCTGAAACAAAGCGGCCACCCCCAAAACATGCCTTCAACATTGCTTTCAGGGGGGGTGCGGGGGACGTCAGTGTTCAATCACTCAGCTTTGTACTTGAGAAAGAGACAGCTTCAAAACTTGTGACTGGAGGTGGGCTTGAGAATTTGTAATTGGCTGAGTCTCCGCGTGAAATTTATAAGTAGCCGGGGGCATCCGCAAGTGTACGGAAGAGAAGGAAGAAAGGAAACATATGGCAGGCGGCTGTCAATTCGCACCAGGTCACACCACATGATTCTTATGCCAATTAAAGCCAGTCTCTTTTCCCTTTTCCAGCAACTTGAACAGAAGAAGGAGCAATTGAAACCGGGAATGGTATTCCATTGGGTCTGTGATTGGTGTTCTATTTTGTTTCGGAAGAACAAACATATGTTATGCTACGATCGGGTGCATCGGCGGCCTAGAAAACGAGTCCGCGTTCGCAGGCCTTTTGAGGCTTCAGACTCTCGGGCCCCGGTTGTGTGTATATATATACACATAATATATATATATATTTATGTGAATATTCTATTTACTTATTGATATATAATTCTTCGCTATCTTGCAGCTGCTTGGTGCACGGGGCAAGTCAGGAAGTGCACGAATATGTATATATATATAATATGTATGTATATATGTAGTATATATATATATATAAATCACTATAAGCCTATGAGGATTGAGCAAGTTCAAAAGTCGCTGGCGTTTTTTCCGGGTTGGTATCTCAGGCATGGCTGCGGTCACTGGAAATCAAATAAACCTGGTGCAACTTGGGGCCCAAATTTGGGGTTACAAACATTTTGCGGGGCTAGCGTTGAAGGATTCTTTTTGTAGCATTTTGCGAACCTGCCTGGGGTTTCGCTGGCGGTGGGCGAGCCGAGCCTTCCCCGGTGCCAAAAAGCACCTCTCGCACATGGGCATCTATTTTGGCCTCCATGTTTGGTGTCACCACTTGACACCTGGATGAAGGTTCGGGAGCCGAAGTTCTATCTGCCAGGAGCGAGTCGGACAGTTCCTCCTCGCGGCAGATCCAGGATCTCTTTGGTCAACATATGGCGAAGTGTCTACGTGATCTCCTGCAGAAGGTTCTTCGGATGAACAGATCGAGCAGTTTGTCGAACATTCTTTTTTGCGATGTCGAACGCGTCAGCGTCGGTGATCTGTTTTTTTATTGTTTTGTTTTCTTTTTTGCCAGATCTGGGAGATACACCAAGCTGACAGGGCGGGGCGCGCATGTTGGAGGGTCTTGGGCTGTTGAAGGCCCAAACTGATATTGTAGGTCTAAGGAAATTTGTTGGGTGTGTTTCATTCGTTGTAAACTACTTTAACCAACCCTAGTTCAAGTTGCTTGAAACTGGGTCTCCCATGCTGACAGGCTCGCATCCTTCGCATCGAATCTGCCCAGCTACACCCCATCGCCACCCCATCGCCCGTGCGCCACCCCACCGCACGGCCTTTTCACGCGAGGCCTGGGCTGCTGGCGGGGTGTTCGGCGAGGTGGCCGGAGAGTTGGAGAAGAGGTTGATGTCCTGCCTTCCGGAGGAGATGCGACGACAGCGCACTCTGTTTCGTTTTGTTTGGGGCGCGGAAGTCGGGATAAGATCCCGGGTCGTGAAGATCCAGATTGGCAAGAGTGACCCAACTGCCTTGGATTTTTGCTGAGTTCGAACAGATGAGGGCTATTGTGCTTGGGAATTCCATGGGTCAAAGACTCAAAGACAAGCTGTCTTCTGGCATTGTGGCCTGGCCATCCTCTGCGTATTTTCCTTGCCCAAATTCACCACGCATGATGGGTCAGAGTGTTTTTGGAGCCAGACTTCTTCAAAAAGAAACCGTGTGGAGACATAGAGGGTTCCAAAAAACCATCAGGATCAGTTGAACACAACAGTTGGAGGATGCGTTTTGGTGTGCAAATGCTGCTGGGGCATCTATGAACCCCTTCCCCTTCTGAAAGCCCTTGTCATACGTGGCAGAGGAGCTGCCCCTGCGATGCCCAAGCTTCAAATCGGGCTTCACTGGCAGCATGGTTTCAGCATATATGATATGGATGGATCAGGTTTTGGAGGTGGACGCTGGAAGGATTGTGTGTGGATTGCGGATGAGGCTTTTTGACAGGCTTGAGAATGATGCTTGGATGACCTCTGCCTATTCACTCTACTGTTGCCTACTGCTTATCCATACCCCTAATTGCTGATCAGCACTTGAACGGATTCGGCCAGAATTCAGGGTTCTGGCCATTGCTGCCGTTGTCGTTTTCGCGAATTCCGTCATTGGCCGTTGAGGGCTGTGCGACTGCCGTTCCGTCACGGTCCGGTCCAGCGACTGTCCTTGCACCCACCGGGTTGACACGGCCGCCGGTGCATCAGTGCTTGTCACCGAAGTGTGCTCGTCAACGGTCACGCCAAGGACTTCCCGCAATGTTTGTAGCTGAAAGGACTGTTTTTGTTATATGTATATATATATATAGGCTGTAGGTATGGAGAATGGAGACAGACAGACAGGCAGAGACAGACAGAGACGGACAGGCAGGCAGACAGAGACAGACAGACAGCACGCAGGCAGACAGACAGAGACTGATCGTTTCAGAAGCTTCAGAGTAGATGGCTGAAGTCCGTAGACCAATTTTCACGAGGAAGAATTGTCAAAGCCCAGAACTCCCTTTTGAGGTTCTATATTTTATTCTATATTTATATAAGTTAGTGAAGTTGTGCATGTCGGACAGCTATATGGTTGCCTCTCAATAAAGATTGTCATGTTGAGGAGCCATTCATCGTGACCATTCCTTTTTCATCCCCAAGGATTTCGTAGAGATTTTACTATCTGCATTTGAGGCCGCCTTGGCTTGCCCCCGCGCGCCCTGGCCTGCCACTTTCCCAAGGCAAAACGGATGCATTCAACTTGCCGATGCACTTGGAGGCCGTGGTTGGGCACTGGTGACCTCAGAGGGTCTCTTCAGTCTCACGAGAAAGACACCTCTGGGCTTGCCAGGGAACAGAACCTCGCGCGTTCTGCGCTTCATGTGAGGCATGTATGGCGAAGGTGGAACAGCAAATGCTGGACGCTGCAGCACGGGTGAAGGAGCATCTGAAGCCTGGATTTGGATCTCAGAGGTGGCTTGGGGCGGTGCCGGCTTGAGCAGGATCGTTTTTTCAAAGGTGACGCCCCAGGATCTTTGTTTCTTTCGCAAAGTGGCAGGATCCAGTGAATCTTTTGGGGCCAGCCATGGCACGTACAAAAGGTGACCCGAAACGCAAAACAATCGTGGTTGTCAAGTTGACAGGGTCGAAGTGGAGCCTGCCGTTCTGGCCGTGGACAGGGCCGTTCGGTCCGTTGACAGGTCCGTTCTTCCAGGTCTCCCAGGTCAGAGCCAGACAGAGAGTAGACAGATGGTCAGTCAAACGTTTGCTCCACATTTGCCAGACCAGATTGGTGAACCATTGACCAGACTCGACAAACCATTGAGAGTAAACTGTATCAGGATGGGTCGATTTTCTCCACATGCGATGACTCCAGATGGATGTTCATACTCCACGAAAGAAGTGATTGCATCCACACCCCTCTGGGCTTCACGCGCCAGAACGAACGTTGCTCTGTGTTTCCGTTTTACGGTGCGTTGACAGCTTGGGCGGCGTTGTTGTGGTCCGTGGTGTCCTGAGTCGTGCCCAAGGAAAGAGCAGCTGCAAAAGGTCCTGAAGGCGGCTCAGTGAGAGATTTTTGGGCCATTTGCAATGGGCGAGGCCTTTTTCACGGGTGAGTTTGCCTTGTTGGGTGCACCCAGACACGGTTTGATGGCAAGGGGAAAGAACTTAACTTGGGGAACAAGACAAAGACACCCAAAAGCATTCTCGGTTGGCAGGGCTTGGCAAGTCACGAAGGTTCTAGTACAGAATTGCTTACAGGTTCTAGATCTTAAGCGCCTTTCTGTTCGTTTTCGCTTTTGGAGCGATTTGTGCCAAGCAGCTTTATCGTCATGCCATGCGGACGTTCGCCATGTGCCATACGAAGAGAGACGAATGGTCCGCCACTTGGCGACACGAAGCCTGTTGTTCCATGGGTACAACGGATGGATCACCCGAGACCGTGCCAACACGTCCACGGAACCGTGGGGGGGCTTAACGACTGTTAAGACACCACCAGGACCGACACCCAAGTGATAAGGGGTGTCCAAAACCCTCTTGGAAGGTCTCAGTGGAGCTTGGCTGGCTGCCCAGGTCCCAGACAGCTTGGCGACAGCTTGGCTTCCATACAGAGCCACAGAACCGATCCGTCCGAAAAACCATGTTTCCGCCGGACCCGCCTGTCCTCGCTTCAGGAGGACGCCACGCCGCAGCGCTTGGGACGTTTGACGCGTGCAGCCGAGCGCGTGCAACATGCCTTATGGAGCAACGAGCGCCACGAGCCTCCTGAGGCCGGAGGGCGGGGGCCACCGCTTCGAACGCGCCCGGTTTTGGGACTCCGACGTTGGTCGGGAGGTTTCGGCCGAAAAAGACGGTCTGTAAAGATTCTGGGGTGGTTGGAGTCTTGCACGACTCTGGAGTCCTAGATCAACTCAGATCCACGACTTCGGGCCCTTGAAAAGCACCAATTCCCGCCGGTCTCATCCAGGACTTCCTGCCTGGGCTTCGCGAGCTGCTGGCGCCGCTGCTCACCTCCGCGCGCGTGGCGCGTGGGGAGCGCGGTTTTGCCGTGAAGCTGGAGTGGGGGGAGTGGAGGCTTTGGTCGCGACTTGGGCAAGTCCTTGTGTCAAATCTTGCAAAGAATATGGGAAGCTTACTTGCAGAACTTGTGAAGATCCAGACCGTGAGGGAAAAGCTTCGACATTCTTATTTTTTTGGCATGAGTGAATCATGCGAAAGCACCTGTCGATTGGTTAAGTGTTCTTGGTTCTTGGAACTCATTTTCAATATCGACTTGCTCCACAACCCAACCACGGTTGATACAGTGAGACACCAATGGTTCCTGCGTTTCCCGATGGCAGGACCGAGAGCAGGTGACGCAGCGGTGCAGTTTGCACTTCCATCGCTTTCTGGACGAGGTGCTTGGGGAGCTTCCAGTGCGTGCGCTCCAGATGGCCTTGCCGGAGGACAGGAGGTACCCCGCAAAAGTGGATAACCTTTATACAACCCCCCAAATTCATAGAAACGTATATCCCAACCAAAAATGTATTGGACACCGTTACTATCTATTTGGGGACCACTTGAACATCCTTGTAGGCAATTTTATGTTGGATTGTGGACCACCCCACTGTTCTGGAGCTTCATTGGACCATGGGCGCTTGGGATGGCTTGGGGCTTCTGGCCCAGTACTGGATGCCCAAGGTGGGTTGGTCGGATGGGCTGGAGTGGAATTTCAGAACATCTATCCTTCTCGCTTCAAAACCAAATAACCTTAAACATCCTTAAACCAACTGGACACTGGACGCCGGCTTTTCTCATCACTCACCGATTCGAAAGCAATGGTGGGGACATCCAAAGATTTCACCGAAGATGGACTTGACATGGGGCTCCCTGGCTGTGCATGTTTGGTTATAGAGTTCTATATATACAGCCTTTTCTTGTGATCCAGCTTGCAGGACTGCTGGGTGGAAGACTGCTCTGAGGACTGCTTGTTCTGTGTTTGTCGGGCGATCCGAGGGGCCCGGAGCCCACGCGGGATCTCGTTTTGGAAGGACGAGTGGGCACCACCTGAGAGGTTCTAAAGCCTTTCAAACTCATTTCAAAAGTGGAATCTCTCTCTCTCTCTCTCGCTCTCTCTTCATATACGTAATATACATTAAGATTACTGTATGCATTCATATAACAGTAGGTAGTATGCGCAGCGGGCTTGAAATGATTCTTGTATTTGATATTCCCACGTAGGAAATCTTTGGTTCTATTTTCTTAGAGGCCTGATCGAGAAATTATTTACAAACTAGAGCACTGCTCTCTTTCCTGTGTGTTTTGCGTTTTGGATAGCATGCAACCCGGGGCAGTTTGGAGATCACCCCACCGCTGGTGTCTTGTTGCCATGATGAACCACCTTCAGTGTAGCAGGAGCGGATGTTGTTGCTTGGCCGGCTGCTGAAGCTTCGGCTGGTTCAGGTGGGCAGTCCAGTGACCCTGCCAGAAACCCTTGGCAGGAATTCATAGATCATGCCCCCAAGGGTTTTCCAGGCAAAAGAATGGTATTCTAGGGGTATACGACCAGCCCCCAAATTCACTCTTTTTCTATTTGTGACGTGCATGTGGAGCTTGGCATTTTGGACGTCCGGTACGGTTCCCAGTGCTCAACCGCTCAGAGGAAGGCCAACCGGCGGTGTCGCGATGGACGCGTGTGTGCACCGGGTGAAGGCTCCCCCGGCCCCTAATCATAATAACAATCATAACACGTGGAGCAAAACAAGACGATTCAACACCTCCAACACCATGTCCACTATGTCATCTGTTAGTCTTTGTCCTGGTCGTTCACATCCGGCTCCAGTGCAGGTTTTGGTATGTTCATCCTGAATCATCCATGAGCAAGAATGCAGCAAACTGGGAAACCAGCCAGAAGGCCGCTCCCCGACTTTTCAACAAATTTGCAAGCCTTTCACGCCTGAACTCGCATGCTTTTCATGCCTGCTTGTTACACATTGTTTTCATGAGTATATGAGCTTACAAATAAACAACTACCCTTTTCGTAAAGAACACACACACACACACGCACACCTTATTCTTTGTATTTGAATTTATCTACAAGCACCAATTCTTTAAACAAACACACCGTCTTCCCACCGGCCCCGAACCGCGCCTCCGCGACTTCTCAGGCGCGGCTCACCGAGTCCTTCGGTGAGGAGGCGAGTCTCAGGCGGTGGGGATCTCTCGGCACCGGTGAAGTGGCGAAGTGGCACCACCCAAGGGGGGCTTTGGGCACCCGTCCTCCCCAGCTTTTTTGGGAGAAGAGAAGACGTTGATGCCATAGGATGTTCTGCAACTGGCATAGGAAGGAACTCATATGGTGAAGGAACTCATATGGTGAAGGAAGGAACTCATATATTTCACAAACGTTGATGCCATATGAGTTCTCATTTGGTTTGTCGGCCCGAAGGAACGGATCGTCCGTCGCCACGCCCTTTTCCCCGGTCTGCACCGCTGGGGTCGATGGTCGACCGACGGTCGAGCGATGGGAAGAACCGTGCAAACGCCATGGTCGAGTCAAACACCATACCATTCGTCCGTGGTCTTTAGGTGATCCGAAGTTCGGAATTTTCGGAATGTCCTTTACTTCACTGGGGCAAAATAGTCTTTCGAGCTACAGGGATGGTCCATTCTGCAAGAAAGGTGGTCAACCAGTCTGTGACCATGCAAGTTCTTCTTCCTCGAAAACATCGAGGTCATGAGTCAGCAACAGACTTCAAACCACGGAGAGCTGTTCGAACTGGGTCAGCTAGAACCCGAGCGAAGATCGTTCCCAGTTGCCGTCCTTTCACCCCCCCAGACTGCCACAGGGAGAGCGAAGCGCCCGAGCCGAGCGCCAGCGCTGCGCCCGCCGCGAGCGCCGCGGCCGTGCCAAAGAGCCCCGCCACCGCTGCGACCGTGGCGAGCGCGAGCGTCGAAGGCCGCAGGGGGGGGTCTGCGGGACCAGGGGAGCAGGCTGGGCCAGCGAGGAAGGTGAGGAAGGTGACCTTTACGGTTTGTAGACCGTTTTCGCCTGTCGTGTTCGAGACCGAAGCTCCGGTGCAACGTTTTGGTGCATAGCTGGCCGCTGGCCCAGTGTCGTCCTTCCCTGCAGCGAGCGAGGCCTTCGGCGCACTCCGGAGCAGGTGAAGGCCGAGGTGGAGACTTGGAAAGGCTATCTCCACGAACGTGCCGACGAGTGCCTGAGCTGACCAGCCGTCGATGAAGGGGGCATTTTGGGTGTTCATGAATGTTCTGCCCTAGTGAATATGGTTTTGTCCGGCTGAAAGTCTCTATAGGCGCATCTAGGCCACTGGGTGGTTTCACATCTAAGCTTCCTCAGGGCTTCAACTCTGGAACGGAACCTGTCCCCAGTTGGGGTACAAATCTGCTTTGGCACGCAACTCCGCATAACTCCGCGAGGTATTTTGATTCCCCCGAAGAGCTGGAGGGTGTTTTGACAGAGCTGGCGGAGAAGACGGACGCCGGAAGCGACTTCCTCAAAGGCGTGGGTTTTCGTGGTGACACGCCAAATGACAGTGGAGCTGATGTCATGCACAGCTGATGTCATGCGTTCAAGCGCCAGGCCGCCTCACCCAAAACATTCCGAAACCATCCGAAACCCATGGGGCATTGAACGAACGGATTTTCACGGGCATAGCAGCCAGTCAGATATGGCAGTCTGGGATAAAGAATCCCAACCTTGTGCTCAAGTGAGTACCCTCCGCAACACTTCACGATACTGACCATTTGACTATTTGGCCAACTACTTGTATGACCACTACGACCATCTTCTTTTTCCGTGGAAGCAACGGCTTGATGACTTCCAACAAGGAGTTCGTATTTTTGTTGATTCCGGTTGTATCTCTATAGTGACTTTGAGTCATGCACTGCAGACTGCAGGAATGGTTTTTGTTCTTGGTCCTAAACCCAGTGGCCCTGTCTGCTTAAGCGTTGAGGATCACCCTGATGGCCCCTGAACGGATCTTTGCTTTTCAGGTGACGCAGATGTCATCTGGCGTGGTGAACGAAATGAGGAGAATGTGGAAGCCATGCTGCGCCTGCCCTGCATGGAGATCGTTGCTCTTTTTGCACTGAACCTCATTGATTTGGTGGTTTGAATGATCAGAACATATCAGAACCTCGTTGGAGCTTGGTCAGTGAAAACAGACATGCCTTTGCGCGACGGGTTCCGTGTGTTTCTAATAATTCCTGTTCCTCAAAACTGGTAGCCACAGCTTCTGGCTGATTTTGAATAGATTCAAATCTACAGTATTGAAGTTGATACAATTGCAGATCATCCCCAGCCAAGCTTCCGTGAAATTTGCACATGTCTGACCGATCAAAGCCTGGCGCTTGTGAACCTGTGGTGACCCAAACTCAGGAAAGATTCTCTCAGGGATAACATATTGCGTAAGATTGTACTAGCCTTTTGGTAGGGCAAACTGCCATTTGTCTCACCCAGACAAAGTTGTTTTTTGTTGAAGAGAAGTAAAACAGGCAACAGGTTGACAAAAAACATATATTTCATTATGTACAGGTCTTTGGTACCAGTGCTCGTTTTGGTCCCCCATGTTACTCCCTCGCCTTCCCAGGCATATCCGGCGGCTCCACCGAGCTACGACGTCCAGCCCCGGTGGTGCGACGTCCACAGCGAGCTACGTCAACCGGCTGCTGGCGGCGCTCTTCGCCGATGACCAGGCCTTCGCCGAGCTGTCGAGGCTGCCCCGCGCCGAGCCGTTGCGGATGCGCTGCGGGAAGCAGTGACTTGGGCGGAGAAATGGGACCAATCGTGGATGGATGAAATTGAAGCAACACATTATTTTTAAATTCTGGTACAAGGAGGAGTGAAGATACACTGGAGTTTTTTTAAAGCAGCATGAACTGACAGAAAGGGCTTGGAGTAGGATTTTCCGCTCTCGTGCGGGGTTTCGTTTCCTTCCTGAAAGTCATCATGGAGCCGCGCTTGCCTTCCCATGTTTCGATGGTATCACTCTACTCTTTTGTTCTTCTCAAGTCGGCAAGCGCAGCCAAAGAGGATGGAGCCAGATGGTATCCTCCTTGGCTTTGGGACCAATCCACTGGATCTTAGATGGTATCTTAGAAGGCGGAAGTCATTGATCCAACATCACCTCAAGGAGCTCCAGCAGCTCCGGTTCTGAGGGAAGCTCACCACTCGAATCGACTGGTGGCAGTGACTGCCCCTTTGGACCCCTTGCAAAAAAGGGGTGTGATTTCATGATCAGAAGTCGAAACTATTCAGGTCTTGCATTAACTATCATTACATGACCCACACTTAGACAACTTTGAAGGTTGTCTGGTGCCTCCCCAACCCTGAGGTTGTGTGTGAACATCAACCATATCTCCTTGCCATGACGAGTGCGAATCGCCGCGAGACAGACACCGTCTGGGGACGTCCACGGCTTGCTTGGCCAGGCCACGTCTGGGGCTTCCAAGAAAGTCTTGGTGACATCACTTCAGAGTCATATCTCCATATTCCCTGGAAAAGTAAGGGAAGTGAAGAACAAGGCACACTCCAGCACTACGGAATTGGAATGGGTGGTTTATAGACATCCCTCACTATCTATTGTCCTTCCAATGACCACCCTTTCCGTGGTGCTGGCTGATGTGATGATCCTTTGAATCACCTTTTCTGCTGTGCCCGTCCGAAGTCCGCCTTCGCCGGTTTTGGCGAAAGCGGAGCGCCTTTCGGAAGGCGAAGAGGCGACTGCCGTGGCCGTGTGCTGAGATGAAGCGGCGTGGAGTATGCTTGGCACAGTCAGCTTGTGATGCAGTGAGTTGTCCAAGAAACGAGGCCTTGGTTTCTACACCCTTTCTACACCCATGCTTGGAACAGCGGCGAAACGACCTAAATCAGCCAGACTGGCTGATTGGGAGATTTGGTGCCTGGCTCGATGGTGCTCGGCCACGAGCGTGAAGAGCACGCCTTGCCCAAAGATCGAGGCAAAGTTTGTGATCACCCTCATCACATTGCACAAGAGCATTGTGGCCCCTCTGTGCTGGTACAACGCGTACCGAGTACTGCAACAAGAACATCGAAAAGAACTACCTGTTCTGTCATATCCTTCCGTACTGCATGAGTGGCAAGGGTCTGGCAGAACAGTCGACAGGCTTCACGTTGGATTTTTGTCGGTGAAGGAAGATGTCTTTCTCCCATGGTTTACTGAGGATCGACATGGATAGATAGATTATCAAGATCTCGAGGTGCCCGACCGTGCTTTTCCGGTGGCCATTCCGTTGCCCTTCGCAGGAGGCTCCCGCTTGACAGGGATTGATCCTGAGGGATGCCACGAAGGAGTCTGGCTTGCGTTCTTGTCGTGTTTTCTGAGTGGTTCAGCAACGACATCCGTGACCCAGGCGGAGAGCCGCAAGAGCCAAAAGAGGCGGCCCTGACCGACGCTTTCTTTTCTTCGCACCAGCGGTTGATTGGTTGGAAGATCGCGGCCCAGCCCGTCATCCATCCCCTGAAAAACGACTGCTTGGACTGCATGAACGGCATAAGGTGCCTCTCAATGGGCATCTCACGGGGGTCTCCAGAAGACGCCTCCGGATGAGGGTGCCCTCATGTACGGTAGGGCATGCGAGAGACGCATTTGGGGTTGATGTTTTGAACCCTTAGGGCACTTTACAAGGAGTGAGTGAAAAAGTAGAAGCCAGCAAATTGAGTTTCATCACAGGAAGCAGAAGGGGGGTCCTAGTTCATACCCTACGAGGAGTGAGTCAAACAGTAGAAGCCAGCAAACTAAGCTTCATCACAGGAAGCAGAAGGTGTCCACAGTAGAAGCCAGCA